TAGGCGTCCACTTGAATTTTTCAAGGGCAGAGCCATCTTTTTCGTTCAAGCACATTTCGCCCGAACCCTGACAGAACATCTTCCCAACTGTGGTTGCCAGAGCCATCATCAACATCACCGGCGGCTGCTCGGCCGAATCTTTTCGTTTTTCTTGGGGGGGGTGTTCCGGTGTTCCGGGCGTGTGGTAATTATTTGTACTCGCCGTCTTATATCTTAGCCCTTGACGAACGAATGAGAAACGAAGAGATCCTGGGTTTGGGGTTGAAAGTTGGTTGGTCTTCCTGTTGATTGGCTGGGAAACAGCGAACGGTCCACCCTGAGCCTAAGTTACCCACGGAGAAAACTCGGAGAAAGTTTCAGAGGTTCAATGAGGGCTCTCTGGCTTGCCACATGTAAGAATCCTTGCAAGGGTGCTTTGGGCAATTCCAGAGGTGAGCGAAGGCGAGAGGCTGGAAGGGGAAAGAGACAGAGAGGAACCGAACGAAGAGAGGAAGAGATATAAAGTGATGACCATTCCATTCCCATTCGCTTCTTTATTGCTTGGCTTCTTCGTACAAACCCTTGACCAAGCATTAAAAGCGAAAGCATGGGAAAGTTAATAAGATTACATCCCTTATCTTCCTCCATTCTATTCCTCAGTCACTGTCCTCTCTCTATCACATATTCCTGCTCTTGGGACAGTGTAAAGAGAAATAGATTGGTGATGGAGCAAGATGGAAGGGTGTGGCATCTCTTTTCTCTTCCCACTCTCTCCGTTCGTTCATATGATGCCTCCCTTCCCTGTCACTCTGTTCTTTCCCAACTCTTGGCTCGTGGAAGCTCTCGCCAATGGGAAAGAGAGCGAGAAGAGACAAAGTGACCGGGAAAGAAGGAAGTACAAGGAATCAGATAATCATATCACCTTCTTTCCCTGGGACATTTCAGCGGCCATGCCCTTGGTTGCTGGGGGTTGCTACTTTTGGCCATCAAAGCCATGGGAGAAGGCTGAGGGTATCTTACTTGCAGACCCTTTTTCCCTTGAGCTGCATGGAAGCCCTTGCTATTGCGGTCCCCCAAGACGGTGACAGACTGCGTCACAGGTTTGTGTCATCGTGCAAAAGCCCATGCTATTCAGTTGAGAGTTCCCCGAATTTCAAGGCGTACATGGAATGAGCTTCCCGCGAGACGCCCAAGAGGGCGGCGCAAGAGATGCAGAAGGGCCAGAGCTAGGGCACAAGGGCCAAAGCAAGAAGCATGGACAAACAAGGCAAAAGTGTGCGGGAGCAGCACGGAAGGCGCAGGGAAGACGAGAACCCTTCGATGCCTGAACTCCAGCGATGGCCTGCGAACAGCTTTTTCCAGCGCCGCCGTAAAGCTTCTCACTCCCAGGTTGCAAAAGCAAGCCATGAACCAAAGAAAAACAGAAACAACTCGTACCTGCAAAAATGTTTAAACTCCCGGAAAACGTCTTGGCCTTCTGACCGCAACCACTCCTATACTTGAGTTTTCCCCATGGAAGCGGTTCTTTGCGCGTCAAAAGTTCGCAGGGACAGCGAATGCTCCAGGTTGCGCGTTCGAGGATTCAGAGGATTCATAGCGTGATTCCTGTTGCACGGCGGGCTTCCAGCAGCTTCTCCGGAAATAATTTTCGTTGGAAAGATTTAATGTTGACCCCATATGAATCAACCCCAGTTCATTCATGGTGTCTCTGGGTTTTGTGGTTGGAATCATTCGTTTTGGAGGGGAATGTTCCCCCCCAATCATAAACTGGGGTTGATTTATATGGCGTCGATCCAGCCGTATGAATGAAGTCCTCGATAAAGTGAAAAGCACGGAATCTGGTTCTGCACCAGGGCCATTCGCCCGAAGGTTTCCCGGAGAAAAAGCCAAACGCAGCCGCTGGGAGTTGACGCCGTTCAGAGCAACTAGGTCCGCCAGCTAGGTGCCCTTTCTCACCCCTTTTTTGGTTGGGAGGGTTCCCCTACTAAGATAGACCACAACACAAAGAGTACCCTTATTCTAACCTCTCTACTGGAGGAGCCATATTTTTCCCTCAGTCCTCATGGATTTGGGATAAAGATGTTTTCTGACCTTCAAAAGCAAAGGGTGTGAAAAAAAAGGGGAACTTTGGCAAAGCGATTCGCCTGGATCTCGAGCACTCCCGAGGTTGGGGCTCCACCTTTGAGTCGGCCTTCCCTTCGTTGGGGGCGTCAACCTTTCGTTTTCGGTGGTGGAAAACTTGTAGGGTTTTAGGACCGTTTCGTTTTTTTTTTGTGTGTTTTTTTTGTGATTCGATTCCCCAACGTAACTACCAAGAAATGGTTTCAACCATGGTTTCGAAGTGGTGCAGGATTTCATCCATCCGCAGTATGGTTCTGGAGCATTTATTTTTAGGGCCCCTTTTTGTTATTACCAAGGATATTTCCTTCAAAGTGAACACGTAGTTTTCGGAATGGCCTATATTGGGATGGCAGAAAAGGTTGTTTTCCACGATGGCTAAAACCAGGAGGGTCTTGACTGGGGTTTGAACTGCCCGAGGCGTTCTGGACGAGCTAAACATCTACGCCAACTTCAACGAGCTTTGGAATGCCCAGAGTGTCCGCAGGCTGTCGACTCCGACCACCCACCTGTGCCTCGGAGGAAAACAAATACATATATAAACCATATTGTCTATATATATATATGTCTAGGGGGTGATTTTCCATTCTTTTCAATCACCAGCCGTTTTCCCTGGGTTTCCGGAGGTTTTCTAAGAAGAAGGATCCCTGGAAAGAATGGGGGACGTACCCCCAGCATATATGCATATATATATATATATAAACACTTGGGACTTAAGGGTCTGAACACTCCAAAACACATGGATGTCTTAGGATACCCCCTAACACTTTGCTACATGATGGCAGCAGATATGGGGCACACGAAATATGCTGTAGAATCCGATTCGATGTTTTTTGGTCAGAGTTGTTCCTCACCAGGAAACACCTCCTTGGTGATGGGGTACTCTCAAAAACGCGAAAGTCCAGATGAGCGTGCGGGGTCCTGATAGTTGCTGCTTTGAGTGTCTCTGTGTGTGTGTGTGTCTGCGTGTCTGTGTGTGTGTTTCTTTCTTTTTTTGTTTCACATCACCTGTTGGGAGTCTCCTGTTGGGGTGAGGGGGACATCTTAGCCATGTTCAGAGCGCCCCGTTACTCGAGGTTGTTCAGACTTTCATGGAGTGGTTCTTCCTGGACCCCCCCCAAACAAAAAAAGATTTGCCAACCGTAACTAGGTCCCCCAGTAGTGCCCTTTTACCTTTTTGGGGGAGGGTTCCCCTACTAAAATAGACTACAGCAAGAAGGGTCCCCTTATTCTAGCCTCTCTACTGGAGGACCTAGGTAACTTTGGGGCAACAACCATTTTTTTATGGGAACGTTGAGGGTTTAGGTGGACACCTTTGCACTTGTTGGTTTCCTGCTGGAACCATGGCACGCTCGAGTTTTCACGGCATGAGGAACCCTGTGTACGTTAAGGCGAATTGCCTTGTTCATTTCTTCGTCTTCAGGATCCGGGCCTCGGCTGCATCCAGGGTTGCTTGTAGATACCCCTTTTACTTACCCCTTGTGCAAATGAACCCAAAAGGCCTGCTGATGTTCATGCCTCTTCCCTTGAAGGAGTATTTTCTTCCTATGCAGTGGGTTGGAAACCAGGGAAGCAAGGGGGTATCAAGGGGTATGTACTTCCCTTAAACCTGCACTCTCCCTTGGACTTTTTATATTGGCAGCTGATTTCAAGAAGGCTTAGATGAAACAAATGCAGTTTGGGACATGTTGTGCCAGTTTTTTTTTTTGACGTGGGTTTCATGTCTTTCCCCATCTTTTGCGTGGTGTTTCGCATAGTTTTCAGCCATCGTTCTGTTCAAAAACCAGCCATTTCCCCAGGGTGTTTGGTGGTTTTCTAGAAAGAAGGATCCCAGGAAAGCATGGGGAAGTTACCCCAAGAAGTTTACCATGGCTTGGTTAACCGCCATGCCTGCAAAACGCACACCCAGAATGTGCTACACCTTCAAGCCTACCATGTAAGCCTGGATACTTGAAAAGACAACCACACACATCACCCTTTAACCGATGCTTAAATCGCACTTGGGTTTGGACGTGGGGGTGCAAACCTTTGTCGTTGAGTGCTGGTACTGCATGTGAGGTCTGGCACGGTGTCCATTACTTTGCTGCCCGCCAACTTCTTCCCCAACATACTGCCCGACAACAACGCGTCCCTGGTGAGTGCCACTATGTTCGAGTATCTCAAGGCAGGACATGGGAGAAGGGGTGGACATGGAAGGGTCCCCACCCGAAAGGGACAAATGTCTCCACCCGAAAGGGACGCAACTTTATACGGCTGTTCTTTATCCCCAACAATGCTGAACAAACCAAAACATAATCTCAAAAGCGGGCCAAACAAACAAAAAGAGAATGGCAAAAACCACCTCAGAGCCAAGTTGAAGTAAACCCACACCGCGAAAGGGCAACTGACCCCAACTGGCTTTCCATGTTTATAGAACGAATTTAATTTGTCCCAAACAATGCTGAACAAACCAATACATAATCTCAAAACGGGGCACACAAAAACAAGCACTGTTGCAAAGACCTCCAATCCAAACCGTCAACTCGAGCCAGGTTGAAGTAATCCCACACCACAAAAGGGGCAACTGACCCCAACATAGTGTCCATTTGTTATAGTTCGGGCTCTATTTATCCGAAGCAATGCTGAACAAACCAACAACAATCTCAAAGAGGGCCAACACAAGAATAATAATATGTAGCAATCCAAACCGGCAATTCAAGCCAAGTTGAAGTAAACCCACACCGCGGAAGGGGCAAATGACCCCAATTTTTATTTTCACATTTTTATTGAGCGGAGTTTCTTTATCCCAAACAATGCCGAACAAACCATCACATAATTTCAAAAGGGGCAAACAACACAATCCAAGCCGGCAATTCGAACCAAGTTTACAAAACGGGTTTTATTTATCCCTTTGATTATCTTAGGGGGTAAAAACTGCTGAGCACCTTTTCAGCGGTTGTCCTTGTGCCATGCGGCGGTGCCACATGTGCGGTGTGCTTCAACACCAATCAAGTTGATTCACACTCCTTTCCGATGAAGCGGCCTCCGGAAAGAAATGAAAGAAGATCAATCAGCTTCTGTCCTTTTTCGGAGGCTACACTTTTAGGGGGTTGGGTAAGAAAACCAAAAGGAAATCCGAAGCCATTTTGGGTCCACCCAAGACGAGGCACCCATCGGTAACATGTAGGCCCGAAAGCTACCCGCAGGAGCTGGAAAGTCAGCTTTCTTTGGGGTGCCAGGCAGACTTGAGGCCACCAAAAACTCCGTGGGGTCCCTCAATTAAATGGTAACCGTGTGTATATGAGGTAAATGGATTCACTGGAACACCAGTCATTTTCACCCCGAAATCCTTTCCAGTTCAGAGATGGGTCGGGGGCCGGGGGTTTTCCTCGTACCTGCTATTTAGATCATGACTTTGACAACGAAGCAAAATGGAGCATGTGTCAAAATAGAGGACCCCCTCAACAAACAAAAACAGAATTGAAGCAGCACAAATCACAATGTGTTTCCCTTTGAACCAAGCTGACAAGGGTTCCGAGCCTTAACAAAAACACAATGAGGAGCAGAACACCTCTACGCTGGAAGTGACTGCAGCCACCTTCCCCGACTTTAAGTTCATGACTGACGAGGACCACGGGAGTTTCGAGTTCGATTCGGAGTTATGTTCGGAGTTCAAAGCAAGAAAATGGAGTCTCCGCAGGGAGTTTGGGAGGGGGCGGGGGGTTTGGTTGCACCTTGCTGGGATAGGGGAATCTCCTACGGTAAAGTCATGGGTATGGGAGTCCCACTTTGGTATCACCGAGAGGACCCCCTCCCCTGAACAAAGCATTTAATGACCGTGGGATGCGTATAGGTGTGTTTTCGACCGGTGGGTTTTGACGTATTAATTGGTTCCACTGGTTTCAGTTTGGTATTGATCGTTTGCCATGATTTTGTAGGGAGAACCACGAGTTTTCTGGGTTTACAGTATTTATTTACTGCTGTTGGATCATGTTTTTAGGTTTTTGCTTCTGGGGTTCTGTCCATTTTTAGTGGCTTTCAACAACAGTCAGTTTGTTGCAAGCCCATACCAAGGGTTGAGAAGATGCCCAAAACCGAAAATAAGAAATCAGTCAAAGAACCTAGATCATAGCTGAGGCGACTGGTCGGGGTCAAGGGTTATGAGGATGGATCATAACAATTCAGAGTTTTGACCGGATGCTTCATTGCTGTCTCAGTGTCTTTGTTCTTTGTTTGTTAGTTTGATTTTAGTGTGTTGCTTTGTTTGCGTGTGTGCGGTGTTCTGATTTGTTATTTTGATATGCTTTCCCTGGATGCCTCAATTCGAACAACTTTTTGTGGGGAGTTACCCTGTGTCTGGGCCAGATTGGCTGATGTTGATGCCCTTCAAGCCTGGAATTGAGTCAAGACATAATGTCATCAAGGGCTACTTGGAGATCAGCACAGCCGAGACAGAAGTTGTTGAGTAGCTTAATGTTGATTCCATGCAATAGGTTCTGGCTTCAATTTAACGAGACACCGTGTCATGGTTTTTTTTCCGTATCCAACGCCATGTTTAAACTTTGATTGTTTTTGTTTGGTTGCCCAGCATAGTTGGAAAAACACATATCTCCACACTCAGTTGTTGGAATCGTTAAGGCTCCTTGAAATTTGCTCATCTCATGTGGCGTCGATAAGGTTATCGATCAAATTGAACAGAAGTGTTGATCTGAACTCGGTGGATGTAGCTTGTGTGTGTGTCTGGTGTGCTTTTACTGCAGTCTTATAGTGCCTTGTGTGCCCAACAGTAAACCTTATGAAGCTTCCAACTCGGTATATGAGCCGTCAACAGACCCTTGGGGGTGCTAGGCATGGTCGCTCCCCGGTTGGTTTTAAAGGGAATCTATCACTGCCGGATCTCTTGTTTTGTTTCCAGGGGACCCAAGCAAATGGAAATTCCACAAATTGTCTTTTTTTGGAGAACCCTGACCCAGAACAAACAAAATGACCAGTAGATGTTCCTGTGCTTGAACTTTGGCGTGTTGTGTGTACTGAATATGGGTGTGAATCTTGATGGGTCCTGGACCCTTTGGTATACTTTGTCTAAGCGGACATTAGTCCACCAACCTATTTTGAGGTGGTGTCCTTGAATTTGTTCCCATTATCTTTGTGCAAGACAGCTATCGATCATTGCTATAGGTTTCTTTTTGTTACTTCACATGCGAGGATAAATGTGTAATAATTAGAAGAATACCCTCGTTGGAATTCACAATTTCTGATGATAGGTGGTGCATGCATGACATAATTCAACTTGTCTCCGGAACCCACGTTAGTTTGTACCGCTTTTTCCAATCGGTTAAGGTTGATGCTGGCAACAAGCAGCCAGTTTACTGAGGTTTATCCGGTTACCTTTTGGCTCAAGACAAAAAGTGTGCGAGTGAAGCCATCCGTGCAGCAATAGCCTTTAGCCACTTGATTTGTCTTGAATCTCACATTCGTCTGAAATAGGTTACAGGTTGCTGTGGACACAACCCTACAGTTGATACTGTGGATGAACAACTCCTTGATTCGGTTCCCCTGTAAATACCAGCAAACGTTCTGGTTTCAACCATGGTTTCCTTTCGCCCTTTCACTGCGAAATGGATTTCGCAACCATCCACAGCACGGGTATTCTTTACAGAGCAACTTGGCCCCCAACCCTTTCCAGCCAACGCGACGCCCTTTCAGGTGTTGACTGTCTACCCGTTAGCCCTGGTTCCTTGTTAAGGTTCGAGCCGTTAAGCCCCTGGCTGGACCTTATACTTTTTGGGACTGGGTGTTGGTGTCAAACATCTTGTTGACTTGTTTTGGCTCTATCCCCTTGGTTCAGACATCTTTGGAAAGGCAACTCCTATTTCAGGTCTTCCCCAGCTAGCCTTTTGCTGAACCCTTTATAGGGTTATGCAAGAAGAAAAGGAAAAACAAAAAACGATCAAGTCACTTTCAGAGAGTGATGAAGGTATACTACTTCTCTGGTGGCGGAAACCCGCCAGTCTTGTTATACACCGCCTCCGACGCGAGGAGTACATGCAATCCACGAACCCCGGGTCACGGCCTCAGCTTTCTTTTGCCATCCGAGACGCGCTGAGTGACTAAGCCTCACAGATTTTGGTCGGGGTTTTAAAGAATCCCGTCTTTTTTCTTAAGGGATTTGGTTTTTAAGGGAGTTTTTTTTAAGGGAAGTCCATTTTGCTTGTCATTTTTTTTGAAACACCTGGTTTCCCTTTTCGACAGTTGCCATTTGTCCACCCTTTTCTCGGCCCTGTGAAGACTCGGATACGTGTCTCAGAATAGGGGTCCCGAACATGGGATTCAGATTGTGGTCTCCCTTTTAACCGCCAAAAAGCATGGTAAACAGTACACAAAGTCAATGTGAGGGTTGAGAACGAAAGTGATTCTCTTTTTGGACTTCCAAAAGGACCCTTCTATGACCTCAAAGGTGGTTCCACCGCCAAACCCCAGGGAAAAATGAGCAGGTCAAATGAATTATACAGTCTGTGCGAGGAAAGTTGAGGGCAGAGGCCAACATTAGTACATCGAAAGGGCGATGGCGGAAGTTTTGGGCAATCCGCAGGTGATTTTCAATATATTTCCTTCGAGTGTCCCTTCGTCTTGAGATTCGGACTCAGCAATGGCTGGCCACCTACTGCAACTGGCATGTATTTATGCTGCAAGTTGACTCGTGGCTTCAGGAAGAACTACTTCGCGGTTTGGTTTAGCTGGTTTTGTTTGGGATTCCATGGCTGAAATGAATCTCCTGGTTTTCCCCCTGGTTTTAAATGGAATCTAGTTCACGGGACATATGTTCTCATTTTGTCCACCACTGGACGGGCTGGTGTTTGCAACTTAGGGACTCAACATGGGTTTTATCCAGCAGGTTGCTTCGTCGCCTGGGTTCCTGGTGTACAGATGTTCGATTTGGGTCGGTTTGGGCTGGTTTCAGGCTGGAGTGGGTTTAGGGCTGATTTAGGGTTGATGTAGGGTTGATTTGGCTTGGTTGAGGCCGCGTTTGTGGTTTGTTTATGGATTTGTTGTTACTTCCCCAGAATTAGCTTCCCTTTTTTTTCTTTTTTTGTGCCCCTTTGTTTTCCACTAACCAGGCAAATAATGTATATATATATATATATATTTGCTGGAGTCCTAATTCCAGCCTAGGTTGGTGTAGGGTAGGGATCGCCACAACTCGCTGGGCATCGCCAGGGAGCGCTCCATCGCTATAGAGGAAGTTCGGTCGGATCGCTTTCGATGACAGTGGCCCAACTTTCTGCACGCAAACGGCAAGTACTTCGGGTACCTGTCAAGCGAAAGTCGCTGAGAAGCGGGTGACACGGTTTAGTCATGAGAGAAGCTTTCAGGTACGGCTGAGATGAAAGTGCCAGTTTAGACATTCCCGACATCTGTCGTACTTCTCTTTCTTCGTGTGGTTTTTAGGCCCAAGCTTTTGGCTCACTCCTGCAGATTACTAACATGGACCACAACAACAACCCCATGTTTTTTCAGGAATCTCCTTTTGAGGAGCCCCAGGTTTGGAGTTGTGTGGGTCGAAACCCCTCGAAAAAGAAAAGTTTGCTCCACTGTTGAGCCTTGTTTGCTTAGTAACCACAGAAACTCTAGGTCTCGGAATCTGACCAGGAAAAATGGGACCGTTTACAAAGGGGTTCCTCCTTGGCTTGAGCGATTGGCCTCCTTTTGGAACCCGTTTGACTGTCTCTTGAATTCAGTGGGCTGCAAGGAGCGGCGACGATGGCGACGATGGTGGCTATGGCGGCGACGACGGCGACGTTGGTGGCTATGGCGGCGACGACGGCGACGACGGCCTCTTGCCCAAAGGGAATCAAGCTGTTGTCCTTCTAGTTTGCTGTTTGGGTATGTATCCCCGAGACACCCAGTGGTGCCCGCTGTTGCTTTTTTGGAGGGTCCTTTTTGACTACAAAAACTTAGAGTGACGTTTTTCCCGTGGGTCTGGGGGTCAAAGCAGAACCTCAACAATCGCTTTCCTGTTAAACCATCTAGGTTCCCCAGTAGTACCCTTTTACCCTTTTTCGGGGGAGGGTTCCCCTACTTAAACAGACCACAACGAAAAGTACCCTTGTTCTAACCTCTCTACTGGTGGACCTAGCCAAGGTGAACAGGGCACAACACAAATTACAAAGGCCGTTTGGTCTAAGTGCCCCGGTCATTGTACGGGAGGATGATAGTAAGCAGCGAGTTGTTTAGCTTTTTGCAGGATCAGAGAAAGTGTCAGTGGTTTGATGCTTATGGTTCTCCATGAGTGTTTTTTGGGCCAACTAGTCGGTCACACTTTCGCGCCAGTCGCCTGGCGTGCAAGGCTATCGCGAGAAGCGCATTTTTTTAGTTTTCTTCGCTTTTGTGGATCAGCAGCCCTCTTTGGGCGATGCCACGCGCTCTGCTTTTGACCCCTTTGGGAGTTGGAGCCTTGCGATGCAACTGCTTAGGCAGCCGGGGCTTCTGGGTCAGCCACTCACGGTGCATGGCGCGCGTTCCGCAGGCTTTGGACAACTTTCTGGATGCCGTCACTTCATCCATGTGCCTTGTGAACTGATTTGCGTTGATGACTGACTTGAAAGCATTTGCGTTGATGACTGACTTAAAAGCTGTGAGCGCCGGTGAACAACGGGCAGCATTGGGCCCAGTCGCTGTAGGTCCCCGCGACAGCCTTCTGCACGCACTCCTCGTGCATGCGGCCCATCACGCCAGAGGGTTTCACATCGTCCCAGTACACCAAGGAAATCTCAAATGAAGCAAGGGCAAGTCCAGTGCTGGTAGCCTTCCATTTGCTTAAGATATGTTTTTCCCCCTGCTGGTTAAAAAAAAGGGAATCTATCACTACTGGACATAATTTTATTTTTCCCAGGGGTCTGCACCAAATGGAATTAACATGTGCGAAAAAGGCTCAAAAGCGCCCCTTGGGCCGGAGGAAGAAAGCGAGAAACCACTGACTGGGCTTTGCCTCCAGCTGATCTGCCACGGGGCCGAACGCCGAAGCCAGAATCTTCCAAGCCCGTTGCAATCGTCCTCGCAGCCACGCCGTTATCGTTTGCTGGTGGGATTTGCCAGCACCAGCTGCTACGGTCTCCAAGGCTCTGAGGAAGTTGTTAGGCCACCCTGCATGAGGTCAGCACGCACTGGCTGCAACCCTAGGCGTTGCAGGCCGAACCAAACTGTGTTTCAGAAGCCAGGGGATGGCAGAGTCATCTGCGGCGGACACCTGCTTGTCCGGGAGCTCCTTGAGATTGCGCCACGGCCGCGCATCAGTTGGCGGGCTTCACCAGGGAGTACTTCCCTGCAGTTTTTCTTGTGGTTGCCATCTTTGCTAGGCCCTAGCATTTGCACGCTCGAAGTTGCCGCACTAAAGTGGGAGGGCGCCGCCGTGCTTCGTGGGCCAGCGCCTGGACCGGGCGGAGGCGTGACTCTGCCCCCGCTTGCGGCATGGCTGAGCCTGGGCTGCTACCACATCAAATTCCTGCCAGGCATGGGCTTTATGGCTTGTAGATGCTTGGAGTAGCACGCCTGCTCATGCAAAAACAGGGTTGCAACATGATCTGCGGATCAAGCTTCTGCAGGGCTAACTTGCGTGGCTTGTAGCCCGCATGCTCATGCAAGGCAAGGCTTTTCTCGCTGCAGCGTTGCGCCCGACGCAAGGTGGGAGACAAACTCGCGAACGGCAATGGGCAACTCCGAAATTGGACAGTTGCCTCAGGCTGCCCAAAGGAAAAAGAGTCGGCCGTACAAGTTCAGTCACGCTCGGCCCTCGGCTCGGGATGAAGTTAAGAATCCCAGAGCATCATTTCTACTATGAAATTGCACGACTTGTCCAAATCTTCTACAAAAACCAGTTCTACAACAAGTGATTTCTACTATAAACGCCGCACCTGCATCTCCCACCTTCACCACGTTTGCCCCTTAAGATTGCTTTCCCCTACCTCATTCCCTTCATGCTCATGTCCATGCTCCTTGAACCTTGCAGACCTGTCGTATTCGCCTGCGGCGGCCTTGTAGAAGGCGTACTTGGTTCCCTCATCTGACCGGATGAAGTACCTCGTTCACGTCGAAGTTCGTCTTTTTCATCTGGTCATACTGCGGATGGACGAAATCCATTTCGCACCACCTAAGCCCTGGAATGATTCGATTACCCTGGCAAATACCAACAAACGTTATGGTTCCCACACATTCTTTTTTTGGTGCAACATTTTGTCCACCAGTCGCAGATCTATCCCTGGCTCGATTCCGGTGGAATCGTCTCCTTTGCCTTTCTCGATTTCGCCAGGTTCCGAGATGCCAAGTGTCGGGGGAAAAGGCCCCCAGCAATTGGAGCCCTCTCTTTTACTCCTGTTTTGGTTGGAAGGGGAAACCCCCTACTAAGATAGACTACAGAAAAAAATAAGTTGGTACCCTTATTCTAACCTCTCTACTGGAGGATCTAGTATAACTGGAGGTATAACAGGGGCAGACCCTTTCAGACGAATTCGAGTCAAAATCATGGAATTCAGACGGTCAAGCTTTCATTTCCGGATGACCATGCGAAGGCGGCTACGGCCTTCAACCGGAAGAAACTGTTTGACCTTTTAGTTGTTAGCTTGATTTGCTGTTTGGGTATGCCCCAGCCACCAAGTGGTGCTCGCAGGTGTCCCTTAATCAACCGCAAAAACTCAGAGTGATTTTTCTCATGGGTCTGGGGGTCAAAATAGGGGGACCCTAACTATCCAGTTTGCTTCTTTTTTAAGCCAAGGAAAAAAGGGAACCCTCACACCTTACATTTTTGTGGGTCCATGTGTGGTCTAACCCATCCCAGAGTTCCTGAACATTGTACTTATGAGAAGACAGTGTTGGTGGTAAGCAGCAAGTTCTGGCTTTTAGGCCAATCCACAGAAAGTATGGTTTTCCATTAGTGCTTTCTTGAGCCAACTAGTCTTTAAGGCGGTGCAAAAAGGGGCAGACCTTTTGCACGACGAATTCAATTCAAAGTTGTTCAATTCAGACGGTTGCGAAGGCATCGGCGACGACGGCGACGACGGCGGCCTCTTGCCCAAAAGGGAAGTAATTTGTTGACCTACTGTTTGCTGTTTGGGTATGTA